TATATAATTTTTGAATATATTGAATATTTTTGTATTATTTTATTATTTAGACACCAGACAAGACCTTGCATTTGCTCTGCTGTTCCCAGAATTGTCCACTTTTGCTTTGCAAAGGTCTCTGTCCCTCTTGCCGAATCTTATGGTTTATGTTGTACATGCTCTTCAGGCTTTTGCTTCAAGGTATCCTTTGCTGACAGGATTTATTCACAGACACCAAGATTTCCTCAGCAGGATAATGAAAGTGTTTATTGTTCTACTCCTGCTCTCTTTCCTTGCCATTATATTGGTTTTCCATCATTAATTATTCTTCTCTGCCTGGCTGAAGAGAGAGTATTCATCCCACTCTGAATGGAAAATGCCTGGAAGTAAGGAGGCAGCATCAAGTATTCACTCTTCTGATGACTGCTCTGATTCCCATGGGCAATCCTCTGGCTGTGTGTCACCATGGCCTAGAAAAAGCATCCTAGCACAAGAAATTCCTACCACTGTAGCTGCACCTCAGTTCCACAGACACACAGATTTCTGAGCACAGATGCTAGGTCTGTAGAGAAGGCTGCTTGCCACATCAGCCAGAATTGAAAGGTGCTCTTTTGCCTTGCTGAACTCCCATTCAGTTTTACAACCCCTGACACTGAGGTTTGGTTTGTGGCTGATGCTGTTAGGAGTGAGGGAGGACATGTACGTTGACTAACTTCATCAAACGTATTAAGTTCCATCTGGAATTTAAAAGTTTTATTTAAAGTCTATGCCTGCATTTGCTTTCTCAGAATTGCTCTAGGCTGCAGAGAAGATAAACTCTGGAGAAGGGAGTGGGAAAGTGCTCGGGGCCAGAGCTGCAGAGGTTGCCAGGGTCAGACAATTTGCAACACAGAAGCAGGATCCGCCAGGGACACCCAGAGAAGCAAGGATCCAGCAGACCTGGGCTAAGGAAACATGGCTGATGTGGCAGCTCAGGGCTGGTGAAACAACCACGGTGGCCCATAGCACAGAAAGTGGGCAGTGTCACCCAGGAGTGGCAGACTGAGGGCACTGTGCACAGCATGCCCTGCAGCGCTGCATTGTTGGCAACACACACCCCAGGCTGGCGCCATGCCTGGGAAATAAACACTGAAAGATGAAAGCAAGCCAATGTGGGAGGTAGCAGCCAGCTCAGTTTCCAGCCTCTGATCACCTTCTTCCAAGTGGTGTTTCCTCACAGCATCCCCTTGGCCTCCTACAATGCACAGATCATTGCCCTCCATCAGGAAAATTAATTGCCTTATGAAAGAAGGGGTTGCCCAGAAATTTCCCCAGGGAACTGCTTTTCATTCAAGGGTGTGTGTGCACCCTGAGAAAGGAGGTGATCTGATTTCTTCCAATAGGCTCATTGCAGCCTCATAGTTTGGAGCACCCACAACAGTCCATGGCTTTCTCATATCCTTCGCAGTCTTACTGACAGTGCTCTTCAGATGTCCAACGTTAGTACAGAAAAACCACAGCAAGTTCCATCATGCTTTGAGGGCTCAGAGCTGGTCCCTTACATCAATACTTCCTCACAAAATCGAAGTGTATCCTTCAGCTGTGTGGGTCAGGTTGGTGAAGTGCATGATAACCAGGAGCTGCACAGTCTCATCTTGCTGAGCTCTGGCCACAGCCTAGCTCTGCTGGTATTAGGAATTTTTCTTCTTGTTTATAGCAAATTGCAGCCTATTTCCTTTCTTTTCCTCCATCCTATCATCAGATCTTCAAAATGAAACAAAGCAGTTGATTATTTCTCTCCACCCAGTGATAAGTTCTTTGCCCTAGTAGCAGGCCAGGTAGAATGGCAGGTGTTTTCCTTAGATGAAAACTCTTAATTCTGACAAAAACTGTAACTTCGAGAGGACCCACTCTAGAAATATAAAGAGATTTAGCAAATTGGAGGGCTTATGTTACTAAAACTTTATAGTTCTGGTAAGTTTTAGGTATTTAGCATAAAAATATTTGCTGCATACTGGAAATGAAAATGCTACAGTTTGCTACAGAATTAACTAAAAAGTGAAACAGCCTATAAGTTGAGGTTAAAACTGACTTATGGAACTTTTATACAAGCGGAGTCAGTGTTGGATAACTGCAGAAAAGACTGTTGTGGTTTAACCCCCGTCTTCATCCTCTTTATATCTTCCCTTCAGGTATTTATACACATCAATAAGATCCTCTTCTAAGCCTTCTCTTCTCCAGCCAGAACAGCCCCATATCCTCCAGCCTCTCTTCGCAGGAGAGGTGCTCCAATCCCCTAATACCTTAGTGATCCTCTATTGAACTTTCTCCAGTTTTGTATCTCCCTTGTATTGGGGAGCTTAGCAGGTCAGCCTCACCAGTGCTGAGGAGAGGAGCAGAATCAACTCCCTCAACTTGCTGGCAACATGCAGCCCTGGATGCTGTTATCCTTCTCTGCATCAAGGGTGTGTTGCTGGCTCATGTTCAACTTGGTGCCCACCAGGACCATCAGGTCCTTCTCATAAAGCTGCTGGGACAGCCCCCTGCATGTACAGGTGCCTGGGGCTGCTGCTCCCCAGATGCAGGACTTTGCATTTCCCCATGTTGAACTGTTAACCAGATTCTGGCTATGCTGGCTCTATATTTATTTTGCCTGTTGTTGCTACGTGTTAGCACATTCTTTCTTGCACTGTTTATGTAGGACTGCCAAGTGGCAATTTAGCTGCATTTGTGCAGGGTGCACATGAATCCTTCATGAGTGCTATCCTGCTCTAGAAATGTAAATTCACACATTGGCCTCATCAGTATCATTTTGAATGCAACTAACATCAATTATGTATGTTTCATTATATTTTTCATCCTCTTCCAAGGATTCTTCCAAGCAGAATTGCTTATACAGTGTATTATTTCATCTTTGGGGGTTTTTGCTGGCAATGTATATGCTAGGCTGTGTTCTGTATGCTGAAGTATTTTAAGCTGTCTCTTCTTCAAGCTGATCCAGAGTGGTTACCTCAGACTGTCCTCACAGGGCAAGTGCTGCACCTTCCCCTGGACCACTTGGTGGCTTCCACTGAACTTGTTTTAGTTTGTTGAGATTTTCCTTGCATTTTGGGACCCCAAACTGGACACACTATTCCACACGTAGCTGAGCAGAAATAATTATTTTCTTTGGCCTACTGGCTATGGTTCCAGTGGTATGGCCTGGAATACTCTTGGGCACCTTTGCTGCCAGGATACACTGCTGGCCCATGGCCAAGGTGCTGTCCAAGGAGACCCCACATCCTTCCCTGCAAAGCTGCTCCACAGCCCATCAGTCCCCACCCTGTACTCTTGCAGAGGCCTATTCCTTCCCAAGCGCTGGACTTGTCAAATTTCCTTGTATGTGTCCTTGCTGAGTTTTACAGACTTCCTGTCATGTCATTCCCTCAGTCGGTCTAGATCCATTTAAATGGAAGCTCTGTCCTTCAGCACTCGCTGTTCCTGCTTTAGCATCACCTGCAGGATTGTTGAGCATGTCAGGAAAATCAAGCCACAAACACCAGAGGTTTATGTCCAAAAAGGAGACAGAGGAGTCCTCTTACTTTATTCGAATAAAGGGAGAGTCCATGGGCATTCGCCTGGGATCTCTCAACCTTTTGGAGGACGCAGCCTCCCTTTTAATCCTGTTTTTCAGCCGCATTTCCCTCTCTTTCCCCATTGACTGAGGTACTTGAGAGGTACAGACTTCCCGGAATGCCTGATACCTACCATATCCTCTAATGTATAACCTTGTCTTTTAATTTTTAATTCTTATGGAATTTATGGTTTTCCCCCATTGTTTCTTTGATCTTTCAATATCCAATTTCATTTATCAGCAAACCTAGTTTGTTTGTAAAGGCAAATATATTTTTTTCCATTAATCAATCAGTGGAATCCTTCCCATTGTTTCTGTTATCTCTCAGTGCTAGTCTTATCTACCAGCAGGCCACAGCTTGTTTGTAAAGGTAAGTCCGTCATTCCTCTCAAGCACACACCCCGTCTCCTCCTCAAAAGTCTCCGGGAAAGATGTCAGAGAACCGGCTCCTGCCATTCTCTGCTTGCTGCTGCCTTCCACTAGAGTAAACCCATGGACCCTTCCCTCCGAGCCTAACATCTGTACATCTTTTCTCATCTAAGTGTCCACCCTGTGCACTGCAGTGTCCCAGTGTGTCTGCAGACACAGGAGGATGCGATTCCTTCTGTTACTTGGAATATCAGCTGGCTTTCTGCGCTGCTGCAGCAGCCAGCGGCTCCTCTGCCCGACGTGATCGGATGTTACTTCACCTGCACTTAGGCCAAGCCACGGATTTGTTCCCCATTATAAGGAGTAAGGAAACCGCTTTGAATGGGCTATTACTCCCAACAATACCGACGTGCTCCAAGGGTCTCCACGCCTAAGCTTTTGCTGCTCTATCCAGCGTGCAAGGAGCCGCCTGACTCCTTCAGGCGCAGTGCCGGGGCGGTCCCTGCTGCGCAGCATCCGGCCGCCTCGGGAGCTGTACTGGGAGAAGCCAGCTTCCAAGCGCCGTTCCGCCTCTGACGCGGGGTGTCGCGGGGAATTCCGGCTGGCGGCGGGGCGGGGGCTCGGCTCGGCCGCCCCTTCCCCGCCGCCTCCTGCCGCCCGCCCCCGCACGTGACTCCGCCCGGACCCAAGATGGCCGCCGGGGGGCCAGCCCGTTCCCGGCGCGGGCGTCGCGCCCGACTCCAAGATGGTGGTCAATGGAGGCCACCGGAGACAGCCTAGCGGGTCAGTGCGAGCGCCGTGGCCCGGTTGGCTGGGCGACGCCCCGCCCCCGCCAGCCCGCCGCTCCCATTGGCGCCGTGGGGGGCCAGGCCGGCTCTCATTGGCCGGCGAGGTGTCGCTCCCGGTGTCTCCGCTCCGGGGCCCGGGGAACTATTTTACATTGGGCGGAGGGAGGGAGGGGGCTCGGACCGGTCGCTCCGGGAGCGGCACCGGCGGCGGGCCCGGGCCGGGGATGCTGCGGGCGCTGCCCCCGCCGGGACGGCGCTGAGGCGCCGCTGCCCCCGCCGGGACGGCGCAGCGGTAGGTGCTGCCTCCGGTCGGGGCGCGGGCGCGGCGGGCGGGCGGGACCCGCCTGCGCCGCTCGCCCCCCGGCGGCCGCGGCCCCGCTGCCGCCCGCCGAGGCCGCGGCTCCGTGCGGGAGGGAGGCGGGAGCTGCCGCCCTGTCCCGGCCCGAGGGAGCCGGGGGAAGGGACGGCGGGGGCTCGGTTGTACCCGCGGCCGGGAGAAGGGCGCCTGGGGCGGGGGAGGCGGGGAGCGGTGTGGGGGGGCGGTTCCGTTCTGTCCCGGCCGCCCCGCTGAGGGTTCGCGGCGGAGCCCCGGGTGCGGGGGTTGGAGCCTGGCCGGGCCGGACAGGGGGTGCGCGGTGTCGGCACCCGGGGTGGCTGAGGGGCTGCCGCAGGAGCAGCGGGTGGTCGGCGGTCTCCTGTGTCCGAGTTTGCACGCACGGTTTGTCCGTATGGAAATCACCCTGGCAGAATTACCACTAAGGAGCCCTCGGGGCGCCCAGCCTCCTGTTAACCCCTTCTGCGGAGGGGGGTGCGTTAAGCATCAGGCCGTCTTCCCTCGTGGGCGCTCATAAAAGTTTGCAAGTGGTCTTTATAAGCATCTGACTCGAAGTTGTGAATGGTTTCTTGGAATTGTAGGAGCAGTAAATCGAGTTATTTCTGCTGTTGTTGTTAACTTTGTACTTCAGTACTTGCACTGAATCACAGTAGCTTAATCCCATGGAATACATTTCTGTCTCTGAATATTTATTTAATCAGGGTTGTGTGGTGATGTGGTCTTATGAACTCAGTGTGTACAATAGTCTTTTTCCATTCCCTGAATAGTTACAGAACGCTCCCCTCTTTTATTTTTTTCCCTTTTCCTGTAGAGCTTGTTGAAGTTTTATGCGCTGTTTCTGATTGTAAGCGGTAAATGTTATGTTTTTCCTCGTATGGCACCATATCCCATTCTGTGAGGTGTGATCTCTGGCCATACCACACAAAACCAACGATGCTTTTTCACTGGAGTTATGGTTTGGAAATAGAAATCTTGAGGTGTGAACCATGCACCTCAAGACCTCGTGTCATGCAAGTTTGTGCCATTAAAGGCTTCTTGCTGAAGATTTCATGCATCTCTCAGCCTGAGCATAACCCCTGTTACCTTGAATATCCCCAGCTGATGAGTTTGCTGCAGTGAGACATTCGAAAGGAGGCAAGTTTCCAAGTTAGCAACCTCCTACTTCATTCAGTTGTCAGTCTGTAAACCAACATACTCAAATGGACCTCATATCGAAGCAATAGCCTTAGCAATAGAGTTTCTGTAAGAACAGCTCCAATTCTCTACATTTCTGTACATGACTAAGTATGGCAGAGTGAATTAGCTATACTTCTTGGGTGAATTATTTGTCAGTCCAAAGCAAACTGCAGAAAGAGAGAAAACAAACCCAATTTTGTGACCTGGTGGACTGAGCTGATGAAATCTGTTCTGATTTTCCAGTTGGTCTAAATGTCCTGCCTCTACTCTGATTTTCGGGATTGCATTACCAATACAAATCAGGCAGTGAATTCAGACAGTTGGGTAGCAGTAGCTTGACATGACTTCATGTGTATGAGTGCATTGGAAAAATGGCTGGGTTAGTCCTTGGAGGAATATCTACAATTGCTCTTCTATTGCTCATTTAATGATGGCAGGTACATCTAAGAAAGAGGGAGCAAATGGAAGGGAGTAGAAATCAACTGTGTTCTAGCAGAAAGGGGTTTTTTAAATCTTCTTTGAAACATGTGAAACCTGTCACTCTGTAGCAAGGTTCTAGAGAGATGACTGACTGTTCTTCAAATTAGATGTTTCTGTGATGAATTTATAACCCAAGATGGTATAACATTCATTTTTGGGGCTCATTCATTATGCTTAGAGATGGACTTGAGTCTAAACAATAGTGATGGTTTTTGTTAATAGTTGTAAAGCACCTTGTCCTGTGATAGCTTCCTGCAAAGTAGCTCAATTTTTGATAGATCCTTCATGGATTTGGATTACTTCATGTAACTTCCATACAGCAATTTTATCTACTCTTAAAATTTAGTTTAAGTGCTGATATTTATTGCTGCAAACAGTGAAAACAAATGTAAAATCTAAACGGGACACCTTTTTGTTTACTAAATTATACATTCCTGACTTCGTAGATGAAAGAACTTTTAATGTAAGGGCTCCATCATAAACTACAAAAATACTGATTTTTATTCCAAAGTATTGGAATAGGTTGGCTACCTAAGTAATTGTTTAGTAACTGTCTACTTTAGGCTGATTTCCTTGCCTTGTTTCCCCAAGAGCTGAGCTTTGTAGTTTCAACTTTAGGGGGAAATTAGTTTTATCTTGTGGTATTTGTGCCTAGAGGCTTCGGGGAGGCACAAGGTTTGGTTGTGTGGAGCAACATGCAGTGCCTCCCCTCCATCTGATCATGGCCTCACTTTACTGACAAACCCTCCGTCTTCCAAAGATACCCACCTAGTTTAAAAAAACACGTTTTGATTTGTGAGGTTTGAGGTCTGAAGGATGATCAACTTTTCTGATATGTTGACCTATGCATTATTTTGAAACAAGCATGCAATTGCTCCATTAAATAAGAAGTGCCCTGGAGTGATATGTATTTGTGTGGTTTGATTGTTGGACAGCTTATTTTAATCTTTGAGCTATATCTAGTTAAAATGTTGTATTTAAAATTTAGTAAATGTATGCTATACCTTCTGGAGCCCTTATACTTTGTCAGCTTGATAAATTAACTTTGACACACTGAATATTTTTCACCAGCTAACGTAGCTGTTAGTTAAGTTAAATAAAGGAGAAGAGCCCACATGCTCTCTCCATGCATACAGCTGGACATTTCTGTTAAATTTTTCAACAAAAATGAAATTTTGATTGGTTCTTAAAGCTTCATGAATACACTAATTGGTGAATCATCTAATGTGCAGTTTAGTTTCAGGAAATATGAAATGGCTCACTAACTTCGTAGTTACAAGATTATGCAGACCTTCTGAAAATTTCAGTAAGAAAATGTGTGCAGTGGTGGTGGTGGTTGATATTTTTGGCTGTGAGAGAGGTTGGCTAAAACTCAATGCAGTTATGCATAGTCTGCACTAGTTTATATGGTAGGAACTCACTTGAAGAATTATCTGGAAGGAAAAAAGAATAATTTTACAGGTTTATCTGCTCTCGGGACCTTATCCAGATTTTGCAGAAGAAGTTTGCAGTCAGGAACCTCTTCTGGCTCTGTAACAGGTCCTAAGCGTAGTTGCTTTTCACCCTCTGTTTTTACAGTGCCGTGGTTGTTGAATTCTTCAGCCTTAATGTTGGACAGCTGCAAAACATTTAAAGCCTATCTTTGAAAGATTGGGATAAGAAGGAGGGGGAGATGGAGGCTGGCCCAGATAAGTAATACTTCTTGAGGACTCTCAAGTATTTTCTTTATGTAGCCTTATACAGTGGATTCAGGGCTAGCTGGAGACTACTTGATTATGTACTGCATTGTCAACTGAAGTATTTAAACCAGTACTTCTTTCTTGTGAGAGTTTGAATCTTTACAGTAGTTGAAGAATCAAAGAGGTCAGGAATTTGGTTTTCTTTTTGTTGCAGCAGAATAAGAGCAATTTCAGTGCAGTACATAACTACTTACTCTGTGTAAACTCAAGGTTTTTACAACAAATATTTTCACTGCTGTTGAAGGTGCATGGAACATTCCTTAAGATACCGTTGTATTGCAATACCTATGGTGAGCACCAGTTTGTTAGAGGCAGAAACTTTTACAATGTTTATAAGTGCTCCAGATTTCTGACTGACAAAGGGGAAATTTGATGTATTACTTAAAAATTGGAGTAGCACCAATCAAAAATAGTTTTTCTTCAATACTAAATCTGATAACATTTTTGTTCCTCCTCAGCAGAATGAATTCTAATACTAATTCAACAGTCAGCCTGGCTCTCAAATGAAATAACTTGGACCTCATTGCTCAAGACTCAAATGTCAATCATAGGATTAAGAATTGTAGTTCTGGGATAGAAAATGTCTGGCACTTACTACCTAATATTCCCGTTAGGCTAGAAGAGACTCAAGGACTGCAGTTGAATGAATTAGGCTTGATCAAGACTGTGATTAAAACTGATCAAGATAATCTCTTAGACTTTTTGGCCTCTACTAACAAAAATTTAGTTTGTAGTGGTTACTTATGCCAGTTTGACTTAATTTTCGTCATGGAACTTGCCTAGCTGAGGATGAAGGTGTTTAATGGGGCAGACCCTGTTTCTTGCAAAGAGCTTGAACAGGAAACTTCCATCTCCAAGATGTCTCTAACTTCTGATACTTAGAATTTCATCTGCTTTGGTACATCTGTTTCTATATCAAACTACATACTCTGCCACTGTACCTTGGTTTTTGATTTTGCAGTAAGAAGTATGCAGCGCTGTTTGATTTACTGACTGATTTTCTTGTGGAAAAAGTACCTGTTACTAAACTTTGGTTTTGGGGAGCTTCAACATTTGACATTTGTGAAGGAGATATTTTAATCATTCCACTAGTGTACTAGGAGATCTTTTATCCTTCTGAATTAGCACATGGATAAAGTGAATTAATCTTAGACTGCAAATTACCTTTAATCTTCAGCTGACTTGTATCTTTGTGTGAAAAATTTGGTAAAACACACTGCTTAGTTGATGCTTTGTTTTCTTAAGTCTTTTCACATTTCTGTTGGAGAATAGTGAATTAAGTATTTTTTAAAAACATGTTAAATTTCACTTGGAAGTCAAATATATAAAAGTATTTTAAAACCGTTTTGTAGTTCAGTAATTCAGATGTGCAGGATGAATGGTTACTCATCAATTTTATCAAAATAATTTTTTTAAATTTAAAATTTGCTCAGTAAGTTAAAATTTCTATTCAGTTGTGTCTTGTAGTGTTTTGGACTTGGTAGATATGAATTCTCATTCATTGGTCTTACTTGTAGATTGGAAGAGGAAAATAATTATTTTTAAGCCACCAAAGAATTGTGG